AAAAAAAAAAAAAAAAAAAAAATTTTAAATCAATAAACATATCCTCAAGTGAGGATTTTTTTTTTTAATTAAAATTTTTTATGCTTTATTGCCCTAGGAAATATAAAAATATCATTGAATAATTCCCTTTATTTGAATAATTCCCTTTATTTGAAACACATTAGTTATAACTGTAGTAGCTAGGTCATTTTAGCCAAATAAATTAGCACTTTCCACATTTTTTGACCCAGCCTCTAAATCACCCTCTGTCTCTTGCCAGGGATCAGTGAATATTTATTCACTGCAATTGGAAGAACATGATTAGAAACCATGCTGCTTGTCTTATATCTCAACTTCCTCTGCTCTCATTTTTGTCTATTCTACTCTACTGTGTTATGTCTTTCTAAGATTTAATAAAATGAAGTAAAACAATGGTCATTTTATAATTAAATTGACATAGGTTTTAATCACACCTGCTACAGTTTGAAAACTAGGTTGTTTATCAGCCTCCTTGTGGTCTAGTGTTCCTTGCAAATGCATCTGTAAAATATTGCATGTGTATTTTATAATCAAATTTCTGACAGTTTATGTATTATCTTCAGTGTCTATTTTGCGTCAAATTATAACAAGAAATAAATGTTTAAAAAAAAAGGATTGTACTAATTGGGTTAATATAACATTGCATGTATCAGATTAATTTTGCTAGCTCAACTTAAATAAAATTTTGTTAATTTTTTTTATAGACATAAGCTAAGTTTCCAATTCAGAAATTGCTAAATTAAATTAGCAATTTTCTATTCTATGATATTTACATCTTTTCTTCCAGGAAATAATGAAAAACTTGATGTCTCTTAATTACACACTAAACTATCATAATCAACTGCCTCTTGGGCTGCTGTATTCATAGAGGCAAATTAGCATGCCTAAATAATTAAAATTACTTAAGATTCCAAATAAAATTATGAAACATTTCATGCAGCAGTTTCTCATCATATTTCTTAACATCCACAAATGCTCCTTTTGCCCTGAAGGTCTACCTAACCAACTAACCATTACTTAATCTGTCTTGTCAATTTAGGGTTTGATGTTTTACCCTTTGTTCTGGCAATCTCACATAATTCAGCCCTCTCCACTTCATTTGATTCACATCTGTTATGGGTTGAATTGTGTATCCCAAAAAGATATATTGAAGTCCTAGTCCCAGTACCTGTGAATGTGACTTTATTTGGAAAGAGTCTTTGTGAATATAATCAGGTTAAGATGGTATTATTATAAGAAGAGAAAATCTGAACACAGACACAGAGGGAAGATGGCCATGTGAAGATGGGGGCAGAGATTGGAGTTATGCTGCAATAAAACAAAGAACATCCAGAGATACCAGAAGATGGAAGAAGCAATGAAGTATCTTCCCTTGAAGCTTCAGAGGGATTATGGCCCTGCCAACACCTTGATTTGGAGCTCTAAAGCTGTGAGAGAATAAACTTCTGCTGTTTTAACCCAGTTTGTGGTACTTTCTTATGGAAACCTTAGGAAACCAATACAACATCTTTTCAGAGCCTCATATTTTTTAATCCTACCTTCTCATGCCATACTTCCGACTCTTTATAAATATCTAGGGCTAGTTTCTTTATTTCTGACTCAGGTATGGCATTTAGTTTCTTATAAAATTTAGCTTATTTCTATAATCATAAAACCAGAGGGATTTACTGATAAGCTTCTACCTGATGATTTACATTTAATTTTACCAAAAACAAATTTGCTGAGTGGCACTTAATTTTATTTATAATTTTAGTGACTTTAAAAGCTATGGTTTAGAGATGGCAGAGATATAAACCAAGTATTTAAACTTTAACTTATACTGCTTTGTTCTTAACTAAGTAGATCAAAGAAGATGAACTTTAAAAAATTCACATTGAATATAACAACTACTAAGTCTTTGGTAATTTTAGTAAAAGCAATTTCAGAGTAAGGGTGAAGATAAAAGCCATAAACTTCTAAAATCTGAATTCAAAATAAACAAAATGTATCCTCGATCAGGGCACATGCCCCGGCTGCTGGATGATCCCCAGTAGGGGCCATGTGGGAGACAGCCTATGGATCATGTTTTGCTCTCACGGATGTTTCTATCTCTCTCTCCCCCTCCCTTCCTTTCTCTCTAAAATAACTAGTGAAAAACATTAAAAATTTTTAAAAAGACAAAATTAAAATGCAATAAAATGCCAGGAAAAATAAGTATAAAATATCGCATAGACAAAGAGATATACTTAACATACTAAAAGATCTTAGAAATCAGTATAAATATAACAATGAAATATTAACAAAGGACATAGAAAATTTATAGAACAAAATAAGTAACCAATACACATATAAAAGATAAAAGATAAAATTTACTTCTAAAATTAAAATTAACACCAATGTAAAATTAACAAAGATTTTTTAAAAATAATAGCCCACCCCCCCAAAAAGGAAACATATTAATAAATGGATGGTCTTCTACAGTACTGGCAGAAGTTTAAATTGATATAATCTTTATCCTGGATAATTTGAAAGTGAATATCAAAAGTTTATAAAATATACATACAATTCACCAAAAATTCCACTTATAAGAAACTTAATTTTGGGAAATAATTTTTCCCTCAAGAAATATTTATTGAGCACCTATCTATTCCAGGGACAATTACTAGGTATGAGGCTGACAACCAAATACAAAAAGATATTGTTTCTTAGTCTTGTGAATCTCACAGTCTAGTGGAAGAAACTGAATACAGAAGTACAAAAAGTGTAGAAAATATTGTGAAATACTGAAGAGGGAATATACTTTACCAGAGTAATAGAACGCAAAGGGGTCTATAGGAGAGAGAGTCTAGTTGAGAAATCATCCAAAGGTGTAACAGGAATAAAATGTAATATACTAGGAACCATACGAAATCTGCTGTGGTAGGAGGAAAGGAAAAAGTTAGCAAAGAAAAGCATATATAAGATTTGCTTGAAGAAGTAGATAGAGGCCTGATTATGCATTGAACCACTGACTCTCTGAAGTATCGTTACTTTTGATATAACAGTTGTAAATATTTATGCACCCAACATCAGAGCACGTGAATATATAAAGCAGCTATTAAGAAATCTGAAGGAACAGGTAGACAATACAATAATAGAAGCAGACTTGATTACACCACTTTTATTAATTGATAGATTATCCAGATTAATATAATCTTAAATTAATAAAGAAACATTGGGCTTAAACTACACTTTAAATCAAATGAACCTAAAAGACATATATAAACATTCCTCCCAACAGCAGCAAAATAAGCATTCTTCTCAAGGACACACATGTAGCATTCTCTAGGATAGATCATAGGTTACCTGAGAAAACAAGACTTAAAAAATGTTAAGAAAATTGAAATCATATCAGACATCTTTTTAAATCACAATGATGTTAAATTAAAAATTAATTACAAAAAGATAACAAAAATTCAGAAATATTTCAATGTTAAATGATATACTGCTAAA